GGGAGGAGCAAACGACAGACACAGTGGGTGTGGCGTCAGGCCTCGGAGAGGCTTTTATTAACAGAAAATAAACAGTGTCCAGAAAAAGGGAATCAAGTGTCCCAAAATAAACAGGGGATCTGGTGTCCTCTCTCATGCACCCACTCCTGGCGGGAGCCTGGCAAAAGGCGGCGATTAAGGGACGGGGTGATGCTGATAATTAGGGGGGAGGCAACCGACTCGTCACAACACACACACAAATGTTCACAGTTATTTTGTTATATAAAAATAAAGAAGCAATTTGCAAACCATAAGACAAATACAAAAGAGATACAAAATATTAAATAAAGTCATTTTTCTAATACAGTTGGTTTATTTAACATGTATACATTTATTTAACATTTTGTTGTTTGATTAGCATTAATGAGACAAACAGTTATTTAATTAGACTGGTATTTAATTAGACTGCTGTCCCTTTAAGACCGAATGAATGTAATACCACTTTTCTTTAATATACTCAGTAGAATGGCCTTTAATATCTTGAATGCAGGTATATAAACCAGATATTAATCGTTTTTCACAAGTATTTGTATTATACACTTTAATGAACATATTTATCAAAGGGGAATAATCATTTGTTACTCTTCTGATTTTCATATCATAATAGTGTCTAACTTGTAAAAACCTATAAAAATCCTGTTTCTCCAGACCAAATTTGATCATTAAATTCTGAAAATCCTGAATTTCTCCCTTTGATATAATAGAACAGTAAGCAGTTATTCCTTTTTGTGCCCAGCTTTGAAACCTTTTATCCATTTGAGCGGGGTAGAACTGAGAATCATAACCAATCCAACTTAATATTCTCATCTGATACTCTAGTTTGAACTTTCTCATCAATTTATACCATAATTCTAAACCACATTTTGTCCACTGAGTTATGTTTTCAGATATCTCCTTAAATTTATTGTTATCACCTAAAAGTGACTGAACTGGAATAGGGCTTTGCAAGATTTCCAATTGTTTCCAATTGGCGGTATAGGTTGAATCACAGCAACATAGCACATTTCTCAGTTGGGCAGCAATATAATAGTCTTGAAGGCATGGCAGGGACCGTCCTCCTTTTTCTTTTGCTAACTGTAGAGTTTTAAATTTAATCCGTGGTCTTTTACTATTCCAAATAAATCTAGAAATTATTCTGTCCCAGTCGTTAAATTGTTTCTGGGGAATTTCAACTGGTAAAGCCTGAAATAAATACAGTAGACGAGGGACTATATTCATTTGAACTGATTCTACTCTATTGCTCATATCCAATGGGAGTAATGTCCATCTATTCACATCTGTTTCTATTGTCTTATTAATGGGGACATAACTGTATTTATATATTAAACAGGGATCCCTTTGTATATTTACCCCTAAATACTTGATGCTTTAATATTTAATATTTATGCCCTGTATGTCCATATTTTCTCTGATTAGTTGGGCCAGAGGTTCAATAAATAGAGCAAATAAGGATGGGGAAAGTGGGCATCCCTGTCGAGTTCCTCTCTCCAAGGTAATTCTCTGAGATAAATGACCATTTATTTTTAATCCATTTAAAATGATACATCTTTTTTAAGGCCTGGGGGGGGTGAGAAATTAAATGTCAAAATTTGAGTTTTGTTAACATTCAATGAATAACCAGAAAGGCCCCCAAATGCCTTGAGGGAGGACCACAATGTAGGTATTGTATTTTTAGGGTTGCTCAAATAAACAAGGATGTCATCAGCATAAAGACTTATCTTCTCTTCTTTACCTTTAATATTTATGCCCTGTATGTCCATATTTTCTCTGATTAGTTGGGCCAGAGGTTCAATAAATAGAGCAAATAAGGATGGGGAAAGTGGACATCCCTGTCGAGTTCCTCTCTCCAAGGTAATTCTCTGAGATAAATGACCATTTATTTTTAATATTGCAGTGGGAGCCGAATATAATGTTTTAATAGAATTAATAAATTTCTCCTTGAAACCGAACCTGTGTAGCACTTGATATAAGTATAGCCAGCTCACAGAGTCGAAGGCCTTCTCTGCATCTAGTCAAATCAAGTCAAGTCACCTTTATTTATATAGCGCTTTTA